TTTGTTTTTAGATGTATATTTTATTTTTAGAAATGCATTTTGTTTTTATTTAGGATTTTATTTGTTTATTTATTTTTGTTAGAAATTAATTTTTTTATTTAGGATTGATTATATTTTATTTTATTAGATATGTATTTTCTTTTTTATGTTTATTAAAAATGATTATGTTGAGTTGTATAACGTTTTTATGTTTTATTAAAAAATATGTTACAAAGTAACAGTTACGAAATTCGGTTTGCAAACAATTACAAAATAACGGGTAAACATATCTTTACTATGAACGAACTAAAAGAACTAGTTCAGATAGGTTAAATGAACGAAAATGAGCGCTCTCTCAAAAGAACTAACCTTGACAACTCTACGTCAAAGTCAGAGCCTCCTTAGATGGAAACCCATTTTTCTGACAAATAAATCATGGCCTCCTTAGAAAAAAATGAGACTTACGAAGTGTGATATTTCGATGATACTCAAATCTTTTAGGCACTTGTGAGACATCACAAGACTGGAAATTTTTCGGTCTTTCCAAAAATCGTAAAATCTAATATGGCGACCATAAGAAAAATGAAAGTTGAGGCGGATTGCGGGACAACAAAATACGATTGAGACATGTCATACACGCTATCTTATTTGTCTTAAAAAAGTGTCCGAATAATGTCACATTTTGATAGCTGTCAAATTATTCGTTTCGGATATAGAGGCGAAAAACGAAATCCGCCATTTTCGGTTTTTCGCCGCACAAAGTTTCTTCTAAAACTTTTACCATTTAACCTTTGTTGTAGGTATATTAAGAGCCGAAATTTAAAAAAAAATAGGTATTAATTCTAATGCATAGGCAGGATTCCCCACTCGACCATTCACTGTTGGGTTCTAATTAACAGTGCTGTTCCTGAAGTGGCGCTGGGAAACAGTAACAACGCCTACAAAGAACACACATGATTAAGAATTCAAACACAAACTGAGACTGGCATATTAGGTACACACACCTAGGCTATAAATCGAAAAAAAAGTCCTGTATAGAGAAGCGAATCTGAGACTGTGTATATTGTCAAAGATACTTCATTTTCTTATCCCCATCCCAGATAGCACAGGACGTCCTAAGGACGTCCAATACATGTCCATTTAACGTCTGTACGTCCGGGACCTATTATGGACGTTCTAAGTATGTCCAGTTTAGTAAATCCTTGGGACGTCAAGAAATAGATATCCGCAAAACGTCAATTGTACGTACTTTACTATATTTCCATGGATTCACATTCGCATTGTATTATTATTTGGTTATATTACACAAAAAACATATATAATAAGATAATATAAATAATTATTAAAGATGGCATTGTCCCAATATCCAATTGAATGAAGGCCAAATAGACAAAAACAAAGAAGATCTTTTGCAAGAAAGTGACATTGTTGATAAGTGACTTTTTATTTATTTAGATATTCAGATTCAAGCACTGAAGTGAAATATTCCCAAGGCTCAGGTTTTATTAAAACAAAGTGTTCAATGTTCATGATTCGATGGTATATACATATTATACGAGTACAAGTTCTATCATTCCGCCATTTGTATAATTTTTATATCTGAGAAAGGTGGAAGTTTTTCAAAGCTAAAAGGTTAGTGAATTTATAATGTCTAGCAAGGCAAACTGAAACAAATAGATTGGATTTTAATTTTGATATGCCTTTTATTTTGAATAAGCGATTAAAGTATTTTCAGATTCAGTTGAGAAGGCAAATATGACCAAATCAAGATAAAAACTGACTGCTGTCAATCCAGGAATGGTTGAAAAGAGCAAAGTAGAGGAGTTTTCCAGTGAATACTACAAAGCTAAAAGGTTAGTGAATACATAATGTCTAGCAGGGCAAACTTAAACCAACAGATTGGATTTTCATATTGATCTGAATTTTGAATAAGCGATTAAATTATTTTCAGGTTCAACTGGGAAGGCAAATATGGCCAAATCAAAAAGAAAAAAAAAACAACTGCTCTCAATCCAGGCATGATTGAAAAGAGCAAAGTAGAGGAGAGACGGGATGAATTTGAAGAAAAAGTTTTAACAATTTCACTATTTATAGGTTATTTGCTTCCAAATAAATTTTTTTGAAATTATTCATTATTTTCACTAATTTCCTTACATCCTATTATTCCCGATTTGAGCTTTTGAAAATGTCCATGGAATGTCCTTAAATGGACGTTCTTAAGACATCCTGATTATTAACAATGGACGTTCCAAATACGTCCATAAGACGTCCACGGCCGTGAAATGGACGTTTTGAGGATGTCCTGAATGTCCAAGCAGGACGTTTTTAGAACGTACATAAGACGTATTTGTGCTATCTGGGATAACTGTATTTCATACTTTAGAATAGATTCAGTCAGCCCAAAGTAACCATTCCCAATTTCTTCCTAATATAAATCTAATCGCAAAACAACCAGAGGTTATATAATGTTTTATTTAAACCATTTACGTGGTATTTAAACTCCAAATGTAAGTTTATTGTTAAACCTAAAAAAACTTACGTTGGTATGACATTCTGTCGAATCGAAATTTATAAATTTGTCAATATAAAGTTTCGTTTTACTGTTACCTGGCATTCAGTGTTAAAAAGTTGGCTCACACCACTTAATCACTTTTAAAAGATCACAAGATATACCATATCAGGAAATTGAATCTTTAGAATGGCATAAAAGTATTGTATCATCAGCAAATTCGGTTAAGTCGACCGAAATCAATTGATGCTAGATCATTTATTTATATATGTTACGGGCAGTGTTGTAAATTGGACACTGACGATATTGACCGGACATTAACGTCAGCAGAATGCCCAATCAAATAGGAGATTTACGAAAATGACCGGCCAATATCGTTAAAGACCAAAATATCATCTTATTTGACCGTAACATATATATTAAAAACAACAACGGCTTAAGAACTGACAGTTGAGGAACACCCCACTTAATATATAGTAAACGCAAAACTGTAGTCGTTCTAGCAAACTGTTTCCTTCTGGATAGTCAAGATTCCATCCACAGCAATATCTTAAATATGATATGAAGCTTTTGCAGCAATAGTCCGTGTCTCATGCAATCAAATGCTTTTGTTAAGCTACAGAATCTGCTACATTAGCTACATAAGCTTTTTCTATGTTAATACTGTTGTAAACTAATTTGAAACAGTTAAACATTACATCAAACGGATTCAGTTTTAGTATATTGAATTCATTTAAAATAACAGATAAGATATCGGAGATGATGATAATCTCTTGTCTGTGATAGTTTCTCTCGATGTTGAACTGGATACACTTCCCAATGGCGTGAATTTCCGCCTGGAAGATGCTTGAGTATTTACCCAAACTTTCAGAGTGGTTCTAGCCCCATACACTCTTATTCCAGTTCTTTCTGTGGTTTTGGAACCATCCGTATACCACTTAATTGTATATGTCTGTCTGTCAGTTGCAAATAATGGATTCTTGGCTCCACTCTTTATTGTTACACAGCTCTGTGGTTTTTAAATTATTCACAAAACTATATTTCTTTCTCATTTCATATTGTGGTGTATCCTACGAATCTTCGGTCCTGGAACTAATGGACTTGTCTGATTACTCCACTTCTGCTCATTCTATATCTTTCCCTTTTTATTACGTTCACTACCATTAAAGGCATTTCTTTATAAGCTTACTATAACTTATTAGAACATACTATAGTTACCAGAGCATTTCTTTATACATTTTGGTTACTTTTATGACGTCATATGTTACCAAAGCTTATAACCATTATTAACCACGTCGGTTATGTGGTAAGGAGCACATTTAAACATATCGAGCATGCGCAAAGTGCAAAAAATTTTGAAGAGATACGTTTTTTGTTAAAGATGTTAATATATTTCAACACAAATATAACACCAAATAAAGCCGTTCTTCTTTTTGTTAGAAACGATATAATTTTAAATAAAAAACAAAATCAAAACATTCTAAAATTTCTTATAATTCTAATTTGGTTAGAAATCCCCAACCTAAATTATTAAATTTGACGTATATGACGTAACATATTTTACGTTACCACGGTATATGTGACACCACTAAAGAAACCACAATCTTTGAAGAGATAAGTTTAACTCTATTCAACTTAAACACAGAAGAGGGAGATTTACCTAACTTGAAGCCACTTCAAATCCTACACTTCCTTGAGAAAATAGGATTGGAAGGGTGGCTATAGGCATTGAGACATTTCCTTAGTGCAGTGGCGACAGAAGGGGGCACAATAGATCTTTTAGGTCGCAGTGTATTAACACCCCATTCTCAACATAACATAATATATAACTTAAACACAAGTGATACGTAAACACAACTAGCTCCATGACCACAGCATGATCCGCATTGTGGTCAAGGAGCTAGTTGTGTTTACGTGTCACTTGTATTTAACTTGAATAGAGATTAGGTTGGTTTTGTTTATTTGAACATTTATGTATTAACTATGAAAGAAATTAAATTTATAATACTGGGCACTGAAATAACTAGAGATATCTACTGGATACTGTTATTTATATTAAATAATAAAGATGGGAATATATTTTCACGCCGTTCTTCTTTTTGTTGGAGAATATATCATTTTAAATGAAAAATATCAAAATCAGAACATCCTGGAATTAAATTAAATTTGACAAATGATGTTAAATATGTTACGCTACCACGGTATGTGTGACAACACCAGAGTAACCACAATACTGTTACCAAGAATATTGTGGTAAGCTTATAAATAAATACCTTATATGTAAAGGGTGATTTTTATCATTTAGCGATTGTGGTAATGAAAATAAAAAAAAATCGTTTCAGCAACAAAAGAAATTTCAACCTCGTCTAAAATCATTGAAGAAAAATATTGGCCCACAATTTGACTCACCCCAAATGGGTTTTTAACCAAATCTACTCGTTTATTGTTATCAGAAAATCCGTTCCAGTCTGTTTAAAAAAAAAAAAAATTAAAACGTCCATTTGTCAACCAGATTTCGAAGACGATGGCGACGAAGAAGCGGAAGGCGGCTGGCAGCAGGAACTGCAACGCGGCTACGCACAAGAGGCGAATTTCATGGCGGAATTGAGGGCCCGACATCCTTCATCTTCGCCCGAACACAACCAGCTCGGCGAACCGCACTATCCCCATAATCCGCACAATCCATACGGTCAGTACAACCAGGGGCACGTGTTCCACATGCAGGCCGTTCACTATCCCCAGAATACCAACATGAATTCCACGTCTAGTTACGTTATGCAACAGAATTACTCCAATTACAGTCAGGCCGGGAGTGCGAGTCCTTTTGCTTCGCAAGTAAGTATATATCTACCCACCTGTTGGATATACATCCAACATATTTCATTAATACATCAGGCTAGCGCTACCCCTGTTCCGTAGACTTAAATTTTGAACTTTCAAGAATAATAAAGTGCTATATATCATCTCTTTCGCGTGAACAAGTGAGGAACGATTTAAATGAAAAATTTACAAAAAAAAAATGCGGAACATGAGCCGTTATAGCACCGGGGAATTTGGTCGGACTTTCGGAAAAATTAATTCGGACGAACGGTCACTCATTGAAGAAAGATTTTCCAAATTAGGACTGAAAAAAAGGCCTTTTGACATCTGCGAAAATGACCAGATATTTTACATTAACTTGAGCGTTTAAAGCTGGATTCGAATTTAAGTAAATATTGATATATTTAAGTTAGGCTCTCATTTTTGGGGGCTTAAAGTTACAAAGCCGAGCTTTTATTAAAAACATATCCGATTTTCTATTTTTTTTTTTTTGAATAGTCTCATGCGCGTAAGAGCCTTATTTTCATTTGGTAATGTCTTAAATGACCAATATTTAAAGGTTAATTATATCTGACGTAGATGGATATTTGAAATGTCACAATCTGTCATTTTGTAATTTTAGGAGCACAGTCGACCCGACAAACTCCTAAACCAAGACGATCACGACGTGTGTCAAGAATTGGAACGTAACGAAGAAATTAAAAACCAAGAAACTCTACAATTCGAAGAAGCTTTAAAACATTGGGTCAATCGGTAAGATTAAAAAAACCGTTTACCATCCACTAGATGATTTATGTATAAAAAAAAACCATTGGAAACCTAACATTTTGACTTTTAAGTAAAGCAAATTGATTTGTATTTTTCATACAAGTTAGTTAAAATTTACTATAAAGGTGTGCTCAGCCGGATAAGTTGTTAACGCAGTAAAATAAATATATACTTAAAACACAAGCCATGCTAACATGTCAATTTGTTTTTATAATTACGTCAAAACTATAGCAGCCTATCACTATTTTCACTTAGACACATTGCTGCCATTTTCTTCCTCCTGTTTGCAGCGTTATTTCAGTGAAAACATTCTCCATATCAGAGAGAAGTTCGAATCCTACTGACTGTGCCATGTTAGCTTATTGTTACTTACATATTGATCTGTAAAAGACCTTTTAAATGTCCTGTCAGTAAATAAGAGTTGTAAATATACTAATTTTTATGATTACTTACTGAAATTTAAATAAAAATGGCTTGTGTGTTAAGTGTGTAGATTACAAAGTTTTTGAGTTTATTTGTTAAATTATATTTATAAATGTTTAGTTAAATATATAAATACGTAATGAACTGATATAGTATATTGTTATTTTACTTTAATATATAATTTTTCTAGAAAAATACGCTTATATAATATATTAATTTCTTCCCCATTTAAAAACTTTTATTTCTGAAATTTTACGTCTCTCTTACTAAATCTAACCTCTAAACGTCATTTAAATTAAGGAAATGTTTGAGGTTGTGGCATAAAAACATTAAATAACGAACAAAATGGTCGACAGTATTTTATTATTTTTAAAGTTTTGATTTGCGCCAGATTTGACAGCAATCAATTGTAGTTCAGACAGTTTCCTGTACATGTATATATAGTTATAATTTTTGCGTTAAAGGGAGGCGTAGAGTAAAAAAAATCAGAATAAACAATTTGCTATTATATTCTCGAATAAAATACGGATTTGAAGGAAATGGACCGTGATAATGTGATTTTTTCTTCACAAAAATTCTGACAGATGATAGTGACACCTGTTACCGTTGTCATGGTAACATCACGTGTTGCCAACATTGTTTTGACGTCACGACTTATCAGGGTCCGTTTGAATAAAATTGTCAAATTTATTAAAAATATAATAGACTGGGTATAAAAGGTGTTTAATCATAAATTAATAGACTTAATAATAAATTTAATTGTGATGATGAAGAAATCAAAAGAGTCCTTTGCATATCTCACAAAAATAAGTGACATGTATGACATATCTTTGTAAGATATAAAGGACTTTCTTTTCGTTTCATATTTCTTCACTTTTATGAAAAATTAACTCATACATTGATATCCTCAATTTCAGTTCTAATTGACCGATTTATATAATTTCTGACAGTTTTACCTATTGACAGTTATACCAATTGACAGTTATTATTACAATTATATTATTATTAGTGCATTTTTATTTAAAACTGTCCTACTGTCTTGTCAATCAAGTCAAATGCCTTTTTAGACTTGATACTAACTTATATTTGCCTTAGTCTCAATTTTGACGTATGATTAAACATCTTTTACCTGCAAAAACGACGATATAGCAAACGAAGCGCAAATAAACAATTTGATTTTGTATATTTTTAAAAATACTCTTGTTATTATTGATCATATTATATCTAGCGGCGATTTGTTTCGAGCAGAATTTAGAGCCGGAATTAAATAATAAACAAATTATTAATGTAGAAAAATTTAATTGGACATCCTATCTATCCTATTCTATTTAAATATTTTTATAATTTATACAATTCGAGCAATATATGAAATGTTAAAAAAATGCTGCTACATCACTATAATATTTAAAACAGGTAAATTAATGATATAAAAGGATCTCAGTATTGAAATGATATAGTCCCCAGTGTTTTGTGATTTTTTTCAATACAATTTATAAAATTATTATACCTACTCTTTCAAGATTTTGTTTCTGTTTATTACAAAAAAATAAAATAAAGGACTAAAGATATTAATAAGGTTTTTTAATCTCTCCTATGTTCCTTTTATTTTAGTTTGAATTGAATTATTTTTGAGTTATTCCTGTTTAAATATCTGTCCGAGTTTAAACATTAAAGCCAACCCTGTCACATATAGGAATGTGGCTAACGCGTAAAAAGTCACACAAAACGAATTTTTACAGTTAACTACCAAAGGGAAATTATATTGAAAAATATACTCCTTATGTGGTAGAATTCCCTTAGCAAGCGTCACGCCAAACATAATACTATTGAAAGTTATAGACGGGCACAGAAGCTTCAGTGTCTTACATCACATCGAGCACCACATTTTTGAACCAAACAATGGTTGCCCGTAGGTAATGACAGGCACATGACAGGTTATAATATGGCAACACTGTGGGCCTGGTGATTTGACAGGGTCAATGATATAGATAGATCAGATGAAAGGGCAACGAAGAGGCTGATTTACTAGCCCTAGAAGGAACCCCAAAGACTTATTGACCCATAATCGTTCTGTAGTGTCACAAAGACAGTTATCAGAACATGCACAAAGTAGTGGATTTTTAAAAAATCTGAGAAATGGTTAAAAAATTCACCAGGACAGTGATGGGCCAAATAGTTATTGAAAGGACCATTGCCTAAACTCACTGAGCATCTACTAAGCATTAATAAGAAAAATAATAGAGTACTAGTAGTTCTATTAACAGGGCCTTGTAGGCTTAACAAATATATGTATAATATTTAAGACTCTTTCTTAAAGATTTTTGGACGGTAATTATTCTTAGTACCCCCCGTAATGGCGCCCCTAATCAACAGTGCATTTGGTAATTTGCTTCAAATAAGTGCCTGGTAATCCTCCATAGCAGCCAGTTAAGCCAAGTTTTAGTTAAATTATTTAAGTAACTCTTACAATATTTACCTGCGCCCCTAAGATATCGCAGCCTCTCAAACAGTTTGGAAGTTAATGATTTAAATTAATTTCAAACTCCGTAAAAATGATACGACACTGTCTTAAGTGCCTGCAGAGTAACTGTATGACGTCACGATTTGATTTTTACTGCTTTTAACAAAATAGGAGCAGGTATTTTTTTTAAATCAAGCTGTATATCCAAAAAGGCACTTAATGATCATTCTTTCGAAATATTCACTAAAATAGAATCAGTTTTATATACGGTGTAATAAGTGCTAAACAGAGTTGAAATATCCGAACCCACATCGTCTGACAGTTAATGACAGTTCTAGGTTATGTCACCGCAGTGTTTACGAGTTTGACGAGTGGTTTTTGTGAAGTGAGTCGTGTTCTCAGCACAAAGTTTTAAATTTTCTCGCTAACCTTGTTAATATTTCTGTTAAAATAAACTTAGTACTGTTTGTTAGTTGTTAAAGAGTTAAATAAAAATAAGGTATGTTTACTTCTTTTTGTTCTTTTCTATTATGAGTTACAAATTACTTGCTGTCCCTTTCATTTTTATTTATTTTTTGATTAGTTTCGTGGTGGGTGGGCTATTGTGTTTTTAAATTGCTATTTTCTGCATTGTTTTATTAATTTATGATAATAAGCGTTTTAAGAACGGCAGCAAATTAAATAATGTGTGTATTTATCGTTTTTTTAAATTTGTTTCCAAATGTAAATTGTACATAGTTATCTAAATAATAAAGTAGGATTTAAATATACACACAAAAATATTAATAATTGCATGCACTAAAGAATGTTTATAAATCATTTTTTGCACGAAAAAGTTCTATATTATGGATTACCTGTAATTAAATTGCATCCAAAAACAATTAAAATTTAATTTCCTAATATTATTGTTCAAAAATTAATGGTTTTTTAATGGACTCTAGACAAATATTGTGTATCTAATAATTATGAAGACATTTATCAAGCAAAGTTATTTAATAGTTGTATAATTTAAATATTTGCTTTGTTTGTTAGTTTAGGAAGGGTTTTTTTCAAGGTTTAATTTGTTTCTGGTTTAAAAACCAGTTTGATGGAAGATTGATTATGCAGTAGGATGAACTGGTTGCTTTAGTGGTTGTATAAATTAATGATTCAGCAAGTTTAATAATTGAGTATAAAAATACATCTAAAAATGGAATATAATACCTATAAATATAGTTTAAGAAAAAAGTGATTCTTTATAAGACGTTCTGCATCATTTGTAAATACATATTATTATTATTGTTTTATTTATTGAACAAAAGGTTACGTTCGACTTTAGGGACACAGTGTTTGACCAGTTTTACTTTATTTTTTTGATTTAAATGATTTTAGGGAGTTTTAGCAAACAGCCGCTAACCATCCGCTAACGTTACCTTAGGGATAGACTGTAATCTACTCCGTTCAATGTTTATGAAAAAGGTCACAATCTAAGTTTAACGTAACGTTAGCGGAAATCTTACGTACATTTGCTAAAACTCTCTATTAAGTATGATTTTAACTCACCTTAGGTTTGGAAATACGAAAAAAGAGTATAAATCAATTATATATTTTAATTAAATACTTTTTGAAAATAAGAAAACGAGTCTTTCATTAAATTTAACCTAAAACTTGAAAATTTTAATATTTGACATTTCTTTTCTGGATAATGAGCGGGGTTGCCAAGATTAATTTATTCCTTGTTACTATTTCGACCCGCAATATTCCAAAAACTAAGTAGTCTAGGTATTAACAGTATGATCGGGTAGCGGAGAATTTTGAGTGAACTTTTATGTTGAATGAGTCAAATAAAATGATTTTGTAACATTGTATTTCTAGAAATTACTCAAAAATGTCATGTGAAATGTCAGTAAGTTATAAAAACTTACAAAGGATGTTTAATTTTATAAACAATTGTATAAGCTGATATGAACAGATATTATTCTTTGATCTGTGTTAGGGGCCGGGGAGCGATGTTTGATACATATTCTGGTATTTTATCAAAAAATTCTATTATTTTTATTTAAATAAACAAATCATAAAAGTATAATTATTTACGAGTTTACAAATTAATTATATTATCTTCTTACATATTAAAATACTTGGCAACCCTGTACACATAAGTCAAAATATTTGATTAAAAATGTGCAATTTTTTAGATTTTAATATTAAATTTCTCGCTTAATCATGGATAATCTCCAAATTTTTTTTTATTTTCATGATATATAACTTCTCTACTTTCTAATAGTACAAAAAATATTTTGAAATACATGTGTCTTTTAAGTCGAATGTAACTGAACAAAATAAACTGAAAAATCACTTAAAAAACAAGTGCAGTTATTTAAACATTTATAATTCGTGTTTTGCTCTAGGTATGTATGTAGGTATATTGACATTTAAAAGTATTTTACTCTGCAGTGCAGGAGTGTGTTTAGAAACCACGCACGGCGCGTCTGGACCCTATTCTAATGTATGCGGTCAGACGCGCCGTGCGAGGTTTCTAAACGCACTCCAGCATAAATGATTATGTTTGATTTTTTTTTATTTTTCCTGTACTTATCCTACTAAATATTTTACACTTTTTTATTATTATATAAGTCATGCTGGACTTTTTATCAAGCCTAATTTTTATTATTAATAAAAAATTCAGGCAATCTGCATAATTACAATTATCATAATTTAGATTATCACAGGACCTTTAATATAATTTTACAAGTATTGTCATAAATTGTAGTTCACAAGTCACAACCTGATGCATCTTTCTTTCTCTACTTTCTTTGCGTGGCACTGTAGATGTCTGGATGTGCTTGGTTTGAAGATATTTCCACATGAATACTATCCACTAATCCATTTAAAAGATTCAATCAAGTTTCCACGGGAGCGTATTTCTCTTAGAATAGATACAGTTGTGTCCATTTTCTGTCAGAGGTTTTTAATGACTTTTCTCAACGTCCTTGGTGATATATGGATCCAATACAGTTTGAGTAAAATCAAGTTTTGGCCTTATATGTTTTAGTTTTAGAGCCCTTATAATAAACAATCGGCTTCAAATTATAATATTGTTTATGATAATAAATATTTTGTTATATTTATATCATAAATTATCCTCACTTCAGACAAATTAAATTGTGGCGATTGTACATGATAATTTAATTATGTTGTTTTATTAGCAAAAAAACAAGCAATTAATCTGTACAAAGTATTTTACAGTCTTTTACAAACTTGTTTACCAATATACCCAATATAAATAAGGTAAGTAAACAAAAACAAATCCACTTCATATAAAATTATTTAAAAAAGAGTACACAAACAAATCTTTCTCCTAACTTTGGAATATTCTTTTAAACATTCTAAATTAATAGACATCTAATATATATAAAATATAATAAAAGTATACATACACCAAACAAAAAATTAATTATACAGATACGAAACTAAAATTAATAAAATAAATAAATAGTTCCTAGGTTTATTCGGCCAACAGTTTTTATTTTTTATTAATTATAAGCACTACATAGTTTCAGAAAAACATTGTTCTATCTTCTGGTGTGGTCAATATATTTATTGGAATATGGGGGACGAATACAAACAGTTTAACATTTTTAAAATAATAGAAACCCCATCTTTCTGTTTCACAGCGTTAATTTCCGAAACATAGGTATATAGTGCTTAATTAATAAAAAATAAAAACAGTTGACCAAATAAACTTTTTATTTATATAAAATTCTACTATATACTATAATCAAGAATTAAATATGAAAATTCAATAGAAAATAAATAAAAAAATACAATATAAAAGTATCAAAAGTGGTAATTATAAATTAAAAAAAGGATAAAATTGAAACATACTTCCTTGAATTTATCAGGGGAGTGTGTTTCTTTATGAACGTGACCACATACTTTTATTACTATACGAGGCAAGAGAGAGGTCCGACACGCCCAACATAGGGCGCGGCCATTTTGAACCCTGTGACACAGTTTACAGCTAAAGAATCAGATCGCTCACTCTGAGTCGGCACTTTTGATCTCAATATTTCAGTTTATACACTGTGCAACTCGGATAATACAATATATGACAACCGCCTATAATAAAACAGCAGTCTTCTGCGTATCCTGAATTTGTATCCCTGGAGTGGATGTTATTTTGGAACTTTCAACTGGTCCGAGTGAGCTAACTGATTCTTTAGCAATAAACTGTGACTTTTAAAATAATATTCACTGACAGCAGCAAGCAAAATATCAGGTGCGTTTTAATCATCCGCTTCTGCTTCCGGAATTGTCGGTTTAGTCGTTTTAACCTGTCAGATTA